TTATCCTTTAAGGGATCCTTGGGTAGGTGGTTAGGATATGGAAATATTCCATAACAGTTTTCCCCCAACCCGGCAGTTCGGAAGCTCGGACTGCTGGGGTGCCTAAGTTTGATTGATAAGTCGACCCTACCGAGGTACTATGATCCTGCCTTGGGTCTGGTGTGACTATCTCTTCTGGTTTTAGCTTTTTATATTGGCTTCTTTTCTCTTGAAGTCTCTGAGTTGTGAGTTTGTTGACTTTGAGCTCGGCTTCTCTTGCCGAAGTTTTTTAGTTTTGACTAGGCTTATAGTCAGTCTTTTATATAGGCGTTCGCCTAAGTTTAGGATGGCTTTTCATGCCTCCTTAATAATTAACCCGACTTTGCACTTCCTGGCGTTAAGTGTCGTGGTTCCATATTTGGCTCGGTTTCGCATACCGAGGTCTCTATTAGCATGGACTTCATCTTTTGCAAAGGTGTATTGTACTTTAGGGAGCAAGAATTTTCTTACTACGACTTCCCCCTTTTGGATTTGACTTGCTGCCAATGTTAATTTTGGGAAGGTCTTTCGTGCCTTCTTGAACCATTAATTCGGCTTCGAATATCATGACTTCTCTTGTTTTTGATGGACTTGGCTTCTTTTGCCATAGTCTTGGATTCTTGAAGGAGGAGTTCGCCTCCTCCATTTTAAGCCCGAATACGTATACCGAGGCTTTTATTTTGAGCCCCGCTTCATTTGCAATGGCTTTCTTTAAATTGACTCGGCTTTTGCCTTGTCTACACTTTTGATGGCAGTATCGTTGCCTTTCTGATTTTAGCCCGGCTTAAAGTACCGTGACTTTACTGTTGGACTAGACTTTTTGCCAGTTTTGTTGACTTTGAGCCCGGCTTCGCATACCGTGGCTTTCTACTTTGAGCCACGCTTCATTAGCGGTGGACTTTTTATCTGAACCCGGCTTCTTACGCCGTGGTTTTCAAATTTTGAACCCCGCTTCATTTACGGTGGATCTTTAATTTGAGGCTGGCTTGTTGGGCCGCCGCCTCGATTTTTCTTTTATCTCAAATTAGGATGTGATCTTTTTCCAGGATCACGATCTCTCCAAATTCGTCTTCTCGGATTGGGGTGTGATCTTTTTACTAGAATCACATCTCTCCGATTCTGTCTTCATTTTTATCTCAGATTGGGGTGTGATCCTTTTATTAGGATCACATCTCTCATTTTCTGTCTCCATTTTGATCTCGGATCCTGAAGATAAGGCTAGGGCTGAGTTGAAGCTCAAGGCCGAGGTCAAGCTTTAATCTTGAAGCCCTTTACTGGGCTGAGTTGGAGCTCAAGACTGAGGCAGAGCTTAGGGGTGTAAATGGGCCAAGCCAGCCTACAGGGGCCTATGGCCTGGCCTACGAAAAGCCTGGCCTGTCCTGGCCTACGAGGTAAGAAGAGTAGGTTAAGGCTTGTAGATGAGCCTGTTTAGAAACAAGGCCGTAGGCTAAACATAAAATGCCTGGCATTTTAGCCTGTAGGCCGGCCTGCTTAATATTTAAATAAAAAAAATATTTTATATATTTATTTATTTATTCTAAAAGTTAGATAACCTAATTGCTTTTGTTTTAGTATGCCAAGAAAAATTCAATCTTTGTTGTCATGAATTTTTATAATATGTGTTCTTGTTAAAAAATCTGTTGTAGAATTTTAATAATTTGGACACATGCTAGAAATATTGTTTAATGAATAAGATATTTCATTTTTTTTAAAAAATTTAATATGCATTATGGTAGGCCTAAAAGGCCTCACAGGCCATGTAGGCTTTTTATTTTTTAATAACAGGGCAGACTTGGCCTTTAAACTAAGCCTTTGATAGGCTCATAGGCCAGATAGGCTCAACATTTTTGTGTGTAGGCCTAGGCCAGGAAGGCCAAAGCCTGCCCTGCCCTGGCCTATTTACACCCCTAGCAGAGCTTATAAACATGAAGCCCTTCACTGGGCTGAGTTGGAACTCAAGGCTGAAGCTGAGCTTTAATCTTGAAGCCTTTTTTTGGGCTGAGCTCATTTGAAGCCTTCATTGGGCTGAGTTGGAGCTCAAGGCTGAGGCCGAGCTATTAAATTTGAAGGCTTCATTGGGCTGAGTTGGAGCTCGAGGCTGAGGCCGAGCTATTAAATTTGAAGCCTTCATTGGGCTGAGTTGGAGCTCGAGGCTGAGGCCGAGCTAATAAATTTGAAGCCCTTCATTGGGCTGAGTTGGAGCTCAAGGCCGAGGCCGAGCTATTAAACTTGAAGCCCTTCACTGGGCTGAGCTCGAGGCTGATGTCGAGCTTTTAAACTTGAAGCCCTTTGTTGGGCTGAGCTCAAGGCCGATGCCGAGCTATTAAATTTGAAGCCTTCATTGGGCTGAGTTGGAGCTCAAGGCCGAGACCGAGCTATTAAATTTGAAGTCTTCATTGGGCTGAGTTGGAGCTATTAAAAAAAGTTATGGCTTTATAAAGTTTTACGGTTAAACTATTAATTTTTTTGTGCCACGTGTCAACAACAGATGAGTCACGCCTAATTTAAGCGTGAATAGTCACGCCTAATTTGGACGTGAATGAGTGCAAGAAATTCGTAGATAATTTCGAAACAACTATGTATTCGTAATTATTTATTAAAATAATAATATTTTAATTTTTTTCCCAAATATTTTGATATACAATCTTTTTCATATATCGTATCTTTTATATCTAATCAAATATTTCAACTGTAATTATTTTGTAATTTGAATCTCAATATTCACTACCAGGTTTAGTCACATTCGTTGATCCTCACTCAAAAATATCATCACAAAATTTTGAAATATTCCCAAATCTGTTGCGCGGTTAATTGAATTTGTCAAACTTCCTTTCTATATTTTCCCTTTCCCTAATCACAGAATCCCTCACTTTTTATCTTCGATCATATATCTTAGGGTGAATTCCTATTCTTATTTTTTTCTCTTTCCCTATTCAATTAATTAACCCTATTATTTTCAATTCCCTTTCCTCTGGATCTTGATCTCTCCGTTCGAATCCATGGAGAGACAGTATCACTATGTCGATTGCTTGAAGATGTGAGTTCCAGCGTTTTATGGATGGTTGGCGGTGAAATATTCGATGGTGGTTGTGGATGCGATCGAGGAGGAACCGGTGGTTATCGACGGCGTTCGATTCTAACAACATCGAATACGATAACCTCTACCTCGACATGAACGGTATTATTCACCCTTGCTTCCATCCCGAGGATAGGGTAACCTTTTCTCATTCTTCCATCTCACGACAAATTGAAATTGAAATTCCTTTTCTCGAGTTGGTTTTGTTGCAGCCATCTCCGACCTGTTTTGATGAGGTGTTTGGGTGCATGTTTGACTACATTGATATGCTATTTGTCATGGTCCGCCCTCGGAAGCTGCTCTATATGGCTATTGGTGTGTGTTTCTTCGTTATGTTAATTTGTAATTGTGTGACATGTGCTGTGTGTTAATCGGTGAAGCTTGTTTATGTTTTGGGTTCAACTTTGTAGATGGTGTTGCACTAAGATGAATCAACAACGGTCTAGGCGGTTTAGGGCAGCCAAAGATGTGGCTGATGAAGTATGTAGTGCTAAGTGTTTTCTTTCGTTAGATGTTGTGTGGTTGGGATACATTATATGCTGACTTTATTATAAATTTTTCATGTTACTTAGTACATAGCAATTGTCATGGATTTTATGTAAACTCACACTCTTAGGTTGTCATCTACAATTCAGTTGCTTATCATACTTTACTAGTGGGTATTTGAAAGCTTGAACAGCAGAGTTGTTTGATTTCTGATGAATATTTGAATACCGAATACTCTGCTCTTAAGTGTGATATTTTGGTTGTGTGTGTTTTCAAAATACTGAAACTAACATGGAATATCATGTTAATATTACTTCCAAGTCTACATGGAAAAATCCTGGACTTCAATCAGCACCTTGAAATTGCAATTGATGTTGCTCATGGCTTGATCTATCTGCATCTGTATGCAGGTCACTAAACGCTTTCAATTAGAACAGAGTATTCATGAATCTTCAACTATTGTTCTTCTTGCATATTGTTATTTTTATCTCAGCTCCCACAAAAGGTACATTCAATTCAGCATTGTTTCTTTCGCTCAATTTTTGCAAGTGGGGATATGGGGAATACCATTCATCCCTCTGATGGCTGTGTTATCAATATATAGAGTCTCTTTATGTGTAAAAATATTTTTTTGTAATTGTCTGTTAATTCAGATTATTTGAGGATTATGACCTTGATGAACCTTTTGGCACCTATTTGTTTCTTCCAGGTGCACTCTCATGTTGATATCTACAATTTCAGCAGTAACAAATGGGTAGAGAGGATTGATATGCCAAAAGAAATGGCGCATTCACATTTAGGTGTGGCAACTGATGGGAGGTACATATATATTGTAAAGGGTTATTTTGTAATTTCAACCTAATTTTCCATCAATATTTTACCTTCAACCAAACATAGATTCATGATATTTCATCCAATTTTTCCAATAATATTTTGTCCAACCAAATAATTTTTTTTTAACTTTCCTTACGTAACTCACTTTTCCTGCAGATCTCTATTTATCTGGTAAAAAAAAATTTCACTTATAGCAAACGTGCCTTAGATCATTTGATTCTTGATTTTGGCATGTTAAACAACTAATCGACATTTAGACCTTATACTACCTCATATTGGAAAATAGAATATACTGCAATAGCTAAGGTATATACTCAGTTGATAATTTCTGAAATTACATATTGGATCTCTCAAGTCAAAGGCTTAAAAGTAAAGAAAAGGGGGGGGCTTATAATATATTTTTTCTCTCAAAAAAGAATAAGAAGCTATTCAAGAGGTACAATTCAAAAAACTTGAAATGTCATGTCACCTAAGGTAGAAACTTTTATGAATTTCAATTTTAATTGTTATGCTCAATTTTTAAGATTTTATCTAAAATTTATTAAATACCTTATATTTTTATCCAACAACACGTAGGAATACGTGATCCATATCTTATATTTTTTGTTAATTAATTATATATAGTGCTTTCAGAGTACATATAAAAAATATCGTAAAAGCAGAGTTTTTTCATATATAAGTATGAAACCTCCACAAGACGACAAATTAATACAGCGAATTTATTACTACTATGACAACAACTTCAAAGTTAATTACACAAAACATTTTGGAGCTTTATTGAATAAATCAAGAAAAGACTTAAAAATCTATCATTCTTTCATCCTGTTAAAGTGAACGATATATAGCTCCATATATTTGTTAACCAATATAAGACCTCAGCGACAAGCATAAACACCACAAAAAATGGATCAAAAGGAGAAAGCTATAGATTTTTCTTTCTGAAACACAACTGGGAGCACACCCCCATCCAAGGCCAACAAAATCTTCCCATTCTCACGAAGAATACCAGCAGTACCACATCGGAATCTACAAGTGGGGCACACATCTGTAGGACACCACTGAATATTATAAATACCTGAAAATTGGGTTTCCACGATCCTAAAGTAATTACCCCATCCTCTACCATCATCTTTCCCTGTGATAATGAGCCTCCTTCCACTCCTTGTGTCATTCTGACCCACCCTCCATTCTGTAGATTGCACGCACGTTGTGGAAGCAGAGAATGCCACTTTGAAGTCCCTATTAACCTTCACATCTTTATCTTCTTTGGCAAATGGAGTGAAGATCACACGCAACCCCTTTGGCAAGTCAGTGTTTTCTAGACCAACGTTCAAAGGGCATGACCCGTTTCTGTTGATCAAAGTGAAACGTCCTCCGTTGTCTGTTATGGCTGGCTTGATGTAATATTCCTCATCACGCTCAATGGGATCACCATTTGTGTCTAGGACATAGGTATTATCAGACTGGGCTAATGATGCTGTGACCATGAAGAGCCACACAACAAGGCTTAGGGATCCGAGCAGTCTCATAGACATGATGGTTATGTAATTTCTGGGTTTTGTCACAATTTTTGGATTTGTGTTTTTTCTGTTTCAAGTGATAGGTATTTATAGGATATGATATATAGACTGCCTGGCAACCCGTGGTGATGAGGAACAGAGGAGTCACAAAATTAATAAAAAGGATGAGTAGGTGATTTTGATTAAATATATTTTGGAAGAGGTGATGAGCTTTTAATTGTGAGTAAGCTCCAATTTGAAATTAACAACTTGTCTCAAAAAAATAATTAGGATTGGTATAAAAAAAATTATAAGAGGATGCCAAATGCAAGTGTAGTCTTTTTTGTAATTTATAATTATATATATAAACAAAAAATAAATAGTGCTTAAAAACAAATATTTGTATGAACTTCAAGATTAAGGGTATATGACCAAAAACAATATAAAAAAAAAAGTGGTTGAAAAAAGTCCAACATGACTTATCCAAATTAACCATTGCTTGTACCTTAAGGTTGTAATACTGCTATTATGACAAATCTTGCCGGGCGGCTGGGTTACGCACTTTCAAGGATAAGGTTGTATTTTTAGTGGGGGACCACTAATTTTCCTGAGTGGGGTGAAAAACCAAGTTGAATGACGTGCTGGTTTGGGGTTAAAAACGAAGGGTAGTTGAGGTCAATATTTTCAGACATGTTTGTCTGTGTATGAAAATTGCAATTTCGAAACAAATCGTAAAGTATCAAGATTTTTGGTGTACTTTATGAGTTTTAAACTTTTTATGTTGCAGCAAATGGAGGAATTTTATGCTATAGCCTATAGACTTAGTAACTGTTGATTTGAAGGTTTATTTTAGGATTGATGAGAAAATGTAAGTGGATATTAAAAATATCACGTTTGGTTCAGGGTTTTTTTTAAAATATCAGACAAATAGGATAGATGAAAAAATGACTTTTGTGTTGATTTTTGGATGAAATTTACTGTTCCAGAATACCACTTGAGATGTGGTATTTTGAGATAACTGTGGAATTGAAAAAACAGGTGCAAAGTTTCTCCCGAACATAGATTTTGCATATTTAAATAAATTTTTCTGGTAATATTTAGGTCAACCAAATAACTTTTTTTACATTTTCATACCAAACTCACTTTCCAACCATTTCCAACCATTTTCCTAGTAAAAAAAAATTTCTCCCGAATCAAACACTACTTTAAGGTAATAATAGGTCCACTTTTTTTAAAAAAATAAAATAAAATAAAATCACGCATTTCAACGGACCGGCTGCAAAATCAATCTTCTCCCACGGCAAGAGAATATGATTTCACTTGGTTTATATATATGTTTATGGAGAAAAGGGGGTTTAGAATAATTTCTTCACAAACAGGTCACTAATTGCAAAATTGAAGATTGTCCAAAAATGGCTGAGTCAATTATCAATTATGGAAAGAATCAATGAAAAAAAATATATTAGAGAATAATATAAATCATTAACTCTTACATAATATCTTAAGATTTTTGGTTGAGATGGTTTTTTATATGATATCAAAGCTTCAGTGATCACAATATCACAAGTTCATCTTCAAGATCACAAATTCGATCCTCACAGCCCTTCACTTTCTAGTGGAATTAAATAAGAGCAACAAAAGGTAAATCAAAAATTGGACATGTACAATATCTATATTTCAAGCTCAAATGACTCTTAGATGAGGGAGTGTATTAGAGAATAATATAAATCATTAAAAAAATATTCAATCTAAAAGATTTTAGATTCAATTGATTCTTCTTTAGAGAAAGAAGAGAGAGAATAGCATGAATTTGGAAGGTTACTCTAACACCATTACCGATTGCTCAATTAGCTGCACATGTGGCTCTTGGCTGGTGTTTTCACTTTTCATCGGTGCTTCACCCATCCCAACTTATATATTTTTCACTCTAACTTTCAAATTTTTTGTTTTTCTTAAAATAAAGTTTGAATTTTATTTTATTTTCTCTTATTCTAAATTCAGATATGAATTAATTTATTATGTATGTGGATCTTCTTCAAAAATCATAATAATAAAATTTTTATTTAAAGATAAAATAAAGTGTACTAAGATATATGTGAGAATAAGTGAAATTCGAGATTTCCGAATAATAAAAATATAAAAATTTAATTGATTAGTATTATAATCAATTTTATAAGTTGAAGCTCATGAGAATAATTGAAGATTACTTACTTCAAAAATATAATTATGAACGGTATAAAGAAAACTATAAAAGGTTGCCAAATGCAAGTGTAGTATTTTTTTAAATTTATAATTGTATATAAACTAAAAAATAGAAATATTGCTAAAAAATAAATATTTGTATGAACTTCAAGATTAAGGGTATATGACCAAAAACAATATAAAAAAAAGTGGTGATGGTCGGTGGTTGAAAAAAGTCCAAGATGACGGATCAAAATTAACCATTGCTTGTACCATAAGGTTGTAATACTGCTACTAGGGCATGTTTGGTGTGATGTATAAGGTCTGATAGTATAAGTTTATACTATATGTTATGAAATTTTTAGTTGTTTGGTGTGACCATCGTATAGTATAAGCTTATACAGCAGGATCCTCTTATACATCAAAATGATGTATAACTTAATCAAGCCTAAGAGTGGTGGATTAGACAAGATAAGAGATTGATGTGTTAATATTGCTTACAAGTACAATTCTCAAGGACTAATATATCATTTCAATATTTATATATTAAAATAATTTTTTTAATATATTAATTTTTAAAATATTGAAGGATATTATTTTATACAATACCATACCAAACGCTAGATAATATTAAAATTTAATCAGATTTTATACTATCAAACATTATCATATACTATGCACCAAACATCACGGCAGACAAATCTTTCCGCGGGTTGGGACTCCTCTTTCAAGGATAAGGTTGGATTTTCGTGGCTAGCAACCCCCCTTGATTATTAGGATTTAGTTTCAGCTGGATCTCTTTCTAGACTTTTTTAAATTTTCATTTAAAAAAAGAAGAAGATAAAAGATAAAACTTACCTGAGTTTTAATACCATGGTCTATACATATAGTGTGTGTGCGCCGGAAACTAGTTTTCAGTTCATGTACTCTGAATTGTATGAGTAGATCAAAATTTTCCATTTATCATAGAAAAAATATATATATAATGTTTTTTAATTAAATTTATAGACACTCACATATTTACTTGTATATCTTTTTTATAATAAAATTTGTGTCTTTCATATTATCTACTAACTGCTAAAAGAACATGATCCTCATCCTTTAGTAGTACATACCGATTTTAATTTCCCCGTTACATTTCTTGCATAACCTTAAAAACATGATATATCGATTGTAAAGGCATTGAATGTAGGGAAATAGTTGTCTTATGTCACATGAGATAATTGTCTTATGTTGCACACTCACAGAATCTTGTGCCCATATTTTTTTTATTTTTTATTTTTTTAATAATTGTGGATCCCACAACTTTATTTCACCTATATAAGATACCTATCTTATGTAACATAAGATTAATAACTCCCTTGAATGTAACTATGACTTTCTTAAGGAAAGAATACTTTTTTCAATGGATCAAGCAACAAACTATAATAAGCCGATATTATATCTCAACTCAAAACTTTAAGGCTCAAGTTGTATGATCTTTTTTTTGCACTTATATGATACTTACTTGGAACATTTTTAATCGACTTCATCACTATTCACACTTAATTATTTCCAACATTCTTCTCTTTAGTTTGAGGCCCAACATCATGTTTTCTATCCTTAAAGGCAACTTTTGCAGAAGTCTTTTCTCTTTAAGTATTAGAGTCACGTTACTTAACTCAGCCAAATCTTTGGCTTTGATAACTGTTAAGAATAATATGAGAGAGCCTAAAACCCTTCACAAAGGATACCCCCATCAATGGACTAAGCAACAAACCATAACAAGTGGAGCGATACTACATCTCAACTCAAAATCTTAAACTCAAGTTGTATGGATTTTTTTGTACTTATATGATACTCATTTTAAAATATTTCTAATCGGTACGAGATTTTATTAGTACTCACTTATTCTTTCTAACGTCTTTCTAAGTGTAAGGCACAATATCAAATTCGGCCGGTTGCATACATTATAAAAGTCCAATATCACAATTAGCATAGACAAGGCCAAGTTTGAATTTTGTGCTCAGGTTGAACAAACTTAAGCGCTAGTATTCATTTGCAACCACTAACTTTGGTAATCATGATCTAAATTTTAGCAAAATGTCATGAGTTTTGACATGTCCTGAAAGGGCATCGATCGCAATCATTTTTCAGATACCCAAAACTAGCCTGTTTGTTCAAATATTATTAATATGAAAATTAAAGTCAAATCAACTAAATTTACAAAAAATAAAAAATAAAAAAATTAAAATACTTCGTTACTTGGGGGATTTTGTAGAAATTCTTTAATTGTGTACTATGATGTAATTTTTTAAGTGGTCCCCTGTCTTCTCTGTATTTCAAGCATCTTGAAAGGAAATATTGAATGGCATATACTTATTATTACTTTCTCAAACAGAGAGAGATTTTTGGGATTTCCATGGAACTTAATTAACCTTAAATAGTATTTGAATATTCAGTTCATGATCAGGAAAATAAATTCCCTCATCCCTTTCTCTCTCCTCTCTCTCCTTCCCTCCTCACTCTCTCTGGGTGCATTGGTCCGAGAACATAGTATATTCGCTCCATGATCAGCAACGCTATGGGCAAACTCATGGTTAGGGGTGGCAAAAGAAGCCAACCCGTCGGGTTGGCTCGTAACCCGCACAAAATGAGCCGGGTTGGGTTGGCAAAAATGAGCTGTCAGCTCGATTTAGCCCGACCCGAGCCAACTCTGGCTCAAACGAGCCAGCTCGCAAGTTACTCTCGTTTTTTTTTTAATAAAATACAATGGACTTTACTTATGGATTCTCCACTGATAGACTTTACTATATTGGTCGCTTTTGCAGGTCCTTTTTTTTCATGATTGGCTTTTGATTCTAGATGCTTATCGTTGAAATATATAATGGATTTCTTTTATTTTTTATTTTTTGGCTTTATATACGTTTTATGGTTATCTTGAGTTAGAGTAATTCAGAAAATCATGATAACTGACTCCTGTGATTCGTGGAGTGGTTTGTGTTTCATTTAATGTTTTTGGATTTTGTAAACTACTCTACTTGTAGTTGGA